GCAGTCACAAACAAAAACAAAGCTGAAAAAAAGCTCAAAAAAAGGAAAACATTTCGAATGCAAATAAAAAGTCGCGCCAATAAACTAGACTTCGCGACGGCGGAGCAGACTCAGACAATGGCAATGCAACTGGGATTGCGACTGGGACTGGGTTCTGGGACCCCAAAGAGGGATGTGGATGTGGAGGAGGAGGAGGAGGAGGAGGAGGAGGAACTGGGACCTGGCCACCGACCCTGCAAATCCGCGACGTCATGATGTCTCGCTGGGATTTGGATTTCAGCCGGATCGCGCCCCACCTTCCTCGGAGTCTTCTTGATCGCGAAATTGCATACAAATCGGTTGTTTGGTAAATTTAACATAAGCGCGTCAGTAGCGCCTCTGGTCCGAGGCGAGCTTGGAATAATTTAAGGAGGCCAAGAGGAGGCCACAGATCCAAACAATCACTCCACGGCACAGTGGATCGAAAAAAACATGAGTTGGGTGAAAAAAACTTTAAAATGTTGTATATTCAAAAAGCACTGCTTATTTTAATTCGTGAGATATAATTTTGATCCGTAGTTTTATGATCTTTTGTATAATATGAATTATGTTTTTATACAAACTAAATAAATGTATTAGCATTAATTGCATTTGATGCCATTTCTAGCTATAATTGTTCTTCCAGAAATTTATAAAAATAATGTATATATGTACCTAACCTCAAACAAAGTTAACTTAAGTGGATTAGGAAAAATCATACACATGATATTCTTTTTAATGTCCTTTTTTATTTTAATTAAAAAAAATGTTTAAATACATAGAAATAAATAATGTTTAAACTTATTTCTCTATACAAAAATTTTGTAAACTATTTTTTAAGAAACTGATACTTTATTGGATAAGCATTTTGTGTGTTTTTCGACCACTGTATATGGGTCTTTGGCTTATCTTGTTAAGACTGGCTGACTGGCCGCTCCTGTCCTGTCTTGTAGGCATCATGTAAAACGCATTCGCCTGGACCCCCCTCGCCCACACCCATGTCCCTGTTCGAATATTCGACGCATCCACGTCGCCGCGCCTGTTGATCAGTGTCGTTGTCGTCTTGGATGTTGCTGTTGTTGCAGATGTTGCTGATGTTGCTGATGTTGCTGTTGCTGGTGTTGCTGCCGTGTTGTTGCTGTTGCCGCCGTCCATTTGAGTCAGGCGTTTGGGCGCTGCAATTTGTTTGAGTTACGGCGCTTGTAAGCACACTTTAAGGATCCATTGTATTCCAATCAATAAGCCGGGCATGACAATGAGACAGAGACCCGGGCTCCCAACTCCCAACTCCCAGCTCCTGGCTCCCAGCTCCATTGAATGTCGCAAATGTGTGTCTTTGTCTCCGATTCTTTCGGCGAGTGGAGCGCCGTTTGTCGCCGCCTTTCAGGTCCTTTGGGTGTTATGCGGGTACTCCGAAGTTGGCATTTTTTCATCCGGAGTGTTGGAAATTTTCTGGTCAAAAATTGGAATTTATTGTATGGCCCTTCGTAACATAATAGCATGACATCACCTTGAGCAAATTTTTTTTATTATTTTTAATACAAAATCATTATTGTGTTAGCTATGCAAATTATTATAAAGTCCCATTCAAAAATGTTGGCATTACTTCTTTCGAAAATTAAGAAATTCCTACATATCGGTATTAAAAACAACAGAATTAAATGTATAAAATTGTATAGTTGAATAAATTTAATTAGTAGATTCAAAAAGTTAATAAAAATTAATTTTTACAACTTTATCTATGCTATTGATTGTTCTGATAATAGCTTCCGTAAATCTGCCTTTCCATTTGCAATTCAAATGCGTTGATATGATATTCGCATCGACTTCCTTGATCGATTCAGTGACTAACTGGTTTTGCATTTCCCAGATACCCGAGCATTAGCAACACCTTTGTGGCAGCGCCAATTGCCACCTCAGCAATCACTCCGAGCCCGGCCAATTGACTTCCAATTAAATGTGTCAAACGACATAGACCGTTAACACGCCAAGTCCATAGTTGAGTCGACTAGCTCGACGGACATGCAAAGGAATCGCTTGGTTCTCGGCCTGAATTTCATTAGCATATCATCCGAGCTGAAGAGCAGAAGGAAACTGCTGCAACAAAGACCACAATCAGCGCCAAATTTATGTGCAGCTACAAAAACTTTGCAGGGACACTTGAAAAAATCGAAACTGACAAATAAAAAATCAAATTTCATAAAAATTTTATTGAATATTGTTATTAATGTGAAATTAGGTTAATTAGAGACATTATCTACGTTTTTAAATATTGAACTTAAAATATTTTGAAAACTTTATTTATATCTATTTAGATAAGAATATTTTTATATATAAATAAACGGAATTTTATTTTAAAAATTAAATTGGTAGAAAACTATTAGTGATTTCATGATGATGATTAACCTAAGGGTAGGGTAAATAATGAATTTAAAACCATTTTTGACCAGTGCAGCCAGGCAGTTGAAGGGATTAACGAGGATTAGTAGCCTTGGCAACCGCGCACAATTGGCCAGATCAATTCGACTGACGAACTGACCAACTAGCTGACTGAGTGACTGACTGAATGACAGACGGACGAATATCCGCGGAAGAGCTCAGCTCAGCTTCAGCTTCAGCTTTAGCTGATGGCATTTACGATAAATTTACGCAAGTCATTTGACAACGCTGCAACTGCTGCATCATTATGCAGGCGACTGGCAGGCTCAAATATGCACAAATATGCAAAGCAGCTACTGATGATTGTCGAAAGTTGTTAGCAGAAGAGCAACAACTGCAAGAACAAGAACAACGTATGCAAAACAAACAAAATGTCGCACATTAAGCGGCTGAACATATCTCAAATGTCACGTATACGTCATGTCGGCCGCTCTGCTGACGAGGCAGCGGCAATTAATTAATCCTGCACTCCGCGGGCCAAGTTAGTTGGCCCGGCTAACTAGACAGCGACTAGCAGGTTGCCGGGCCCTGAGCTTCAGCCCGAGTCCAGGCCCACATCTTCATTCAGATCCCGGCTGTTCGCCTCATTCATGACTCTCTTGGCTGGCATATTAAAACGTGTCTAGGAGCAGGTGAAGATGTTCACATAAATTACCACCTCTTCATTAGTGGGGCGTTCGGAGAGCTCAGCACCGTGGGTCGAAGGTCAAGGAAAGTGTGTATTTACTGGGGAATTCATGTTAAATGCAGAACTTTACTGTGTACCTGAGATAACAAATTAAGAGGTTTATAGATATAAACTTAATTTTTAGAGCGAACATTTAGGAAATACCTGGTTTTACATTTAAATATTTAATTAAGAGCATTGTAGAATATAATATTGTAATACAAAAGCTTAAACCAAAGAACTACATTGTTATGTATCGAACTTAAATCAAAAGGTATTATAATAAATTTAGTAACTAGCATATCAATATGGAAATCTGAAAATTAAATAATAATAGCTTTCATTGATATATAAATTTATATGTATTGAGCAGTCTAGATTAAATGTGATTAATACATAAAGGGACATATAACTTCCGCCACTGTTTATATGAGTATTATTTATTATTTATTTATATATGAATAAATTTAGATTTATTAGTAAAATCTATAACTTATTACAAAAATATTCAAATCAATTTTAAAATGTTTGGCTCCTTTTTTATGGGTTGGAATGATCCTCAACCAGTGTGCGCCTTTCTGAGCGGGCTTAATGGAATTTAATTTCTTGTTAGTCGCAGCTAACTGCAACTGCATCGCGATAAGACCTGCGTGCCTGACCCCATAAGCCGAGATCCCGGAGTGGAGCCATCGGGCCATCGAGCCAGCTCGTTTCCTGTGACACAGTTCTGGCAATTAGTCATGGGAATCACGTATACGCCCTGCGTGTCTGGCAGCCATTTTATGGCAAAAGGCCTCAACGTCAACGCTGGGCTTTTGTAATTTTAATTACTTCCCCTTGATGGCTGGCTGAGTTATTGGCCAAGGAGTGGGAGTGGGAGTGGGAGTAGGAGTTAGGGTCGTCGAAGGACCTGCTCCTCCGAAGTGACGGCTCGCCAGATTGTTTTACAACATAATTAAGCAGCATTGTTGTTGGCGTTGGTGCGAATTATGAAGTGCAGTCAAGTGCATGTAGTGCGTTGTTATAGGGGCAGGCATAAAAAATAAAAACCGTCACTCACCAACGCCCCTGTCATTGTGCTAACTCAACTCCTTCGCCAGGAGGTGAGAATCGAGCGGACCATGTTGCCATCCCGCTTGCAACTTTATTTCCATGCCCCGGGCGTGCAAGACACAAAAAAAAAAGGAAACAACCAACAGCGACAACTGCAGCAAGTCAACAACAATTCGATACACACTTGCCACTTGTCATTCTGACCAAAAGTCCCAGCCACTTGGCCACTTGGCGACTGCCTGGTGTGAAAGCGTGTTGCCTTCCTTCGATCCAGATTCCGATTCCATTCGACATTCACGGCACTGCTCAAAACTAATTTAGCAAAGCACCTTGGAGCTGGCCTCTCCCAAAAATATACAGAAAATATCCTTTAACTTAAATCTAATTCTAAAATCAATTACTAAATATTTTTTATTTAATTTAAATGGATCTTACTTGATTAATGATTAGTATTTATAAGTGAGTTTTAATTGCTCTTCTTGCTATTTCCTTTTATTATGATTTATTTTAAATCCATAATTGGTTGTTAATATAAAATTAGATTTATTAATTTTTGTATTCCATAAATATTTATTTCAAAAGCAAATAAAATGAAAAAACTTAACTACTTTTCTCCCGGTGCAAGCAATTCGCATGCATCTGAAGATGGGTCTCGAGCTTATGCCTGGATTCGGGTCTGTCTGGATTCTGTCCGTCTGCTAAAGCGTTCAGCATCGATTCGTTATGATTGCATGTTAAATGGCTCCCGCTGAGTTATTACGAGACAAAATCCTTATTTATCGCTTTCTGATTTATTTGTAAACGATTTTCATGCCCATCGCCCATGGACGTGGATGTGGATGTGGATGAGGATGTGCATGTGGACGTGGCCAAGATGAGGTTGAGGAAGGGCAGCAGGTCCTGCAGTTGGACTTTGGCTGGCATCTTGATGGGCTGGCCAGGTTGTTTGCTCAGCAGAATCTCAGTTGGTTCTTGCCAATTTTTTACTGATTTCAACGCCTTGTTTTATGGCCAGCAAAGGGTTCTCCATGTTCTTCTCCACCGCCCCTCGAATTTTTATTACTTCTTGTGTGCCTTTCTTATCTCTTTGGAAATTGTTGCTGCTTACTTAATTTTGACATATTTATTTTTATTATGTACTGCATACTGGCGGTGGGAGTGGGTTCCTCCTTTCCCCTTAACGCTAAGCAACTCACACTGGTGATTAAGTGGGATTGTGTGGGTCAAGTTGGGGTCAGTTTGGTTATTTGGTTTGGAGGCCAGGAAAGTGTATTTTCTGTATTTCCGTAACTTACCCAATAAAAGTGGGGAATTCATTGGAGATTTTAAGTCCTTTGGAACAGGTGCAGTTTGAATAAAAGTATAGATAAAATAAATAATTAACTGTTTAGCGATTGCACTTATTACGAAATTAATTATCTTTGTTGCTTTAAGAGGAAAACATTGCTTATTAATGGAATATACACATTAAATCTTCTAAACCAAAGCTTTTCATGTTGATTTATTATTATTAAACTAATTTATATAGCTACTATAAATAGGGATCAACGAAAATGTACAGGTTACTACCATAAAGCTTAAGTCTTAATTGGTTTATAAATTCCTTTAACGTTTCCCAATTCTTTATTAATTTCCAAGCTGCCATAAAAGTCCGTGATCTTTACTTTGGTATTCCATAAACCAGTGTCACTCAATTGGCCAATTTCTTGACACTTTCAATTCGCTGGACACCAAAACACCAGTCCAATTTCTCAGTTATGCCCGAAGAATGCAGAAGACTGAAAAATAACCAAATACAGAGAAATGGTCGACGCCTTCTGTTAACAACCGAAACGAAAGAGCCGAACATGGCTTATTAAAACGCAAAACGGCTTTTTACGATGGCAATAAATTGGTGCCGGGTATGGAACTGATTCTGAACCTGAAGCGGTTTTTGGGGAGCGGTTTCGGGATGAGATGGGCGGGAATTGGGGATGTTGGGGACCGGAGATCGGGGATCGGGCCGCAGGGGTATGCAAAGCTAAAAAGGAGCTGCGAGCTGGCATCCAGAGAGGCCAGCGTTTATGGCTTAAATTAATAAAATAAGCTTTGTCAGACAATTTACAACGCGTCTTCAGCGAGCAGATTACGAGCACGCGGACACGATCCAAAGCCAGCAAAAAGCAAGAAGCAGGAAAGCAGCAGCACCTCAGCATCAGCGGACTAAGAAACAAACAACAACACGGCACCGGAGCTACAAAAATCAGCGGGGATACTAACAAGGAAGGGTGTCCATTTGTTCAAACCGAAGTATCAGATACCCTTGTGGACACAGTAAACTAACGTTGATGGTGTCTTAAAAATCTTATCTCAATCTAATTATGAAAATTTTTTATAAGCTACGACCGAAAATAAACGTTAGAGGTTTTTACTTTTAAGAGCCTTGTGGATTTTTTCTTTATTTTCTTTTCTATCAGCAAAAGATTATTATAAGATTATAGATAGAGTGTTATTAGTATTTTTATTTTAGAAGCATTATGAAATTATGTTTAATAAGGTAATATTTTTTGTCTCAAAAGACACCTGTTAATAAATTTGTACCAAATAAAAATGCCAACCTTAAGTAATGTTTTTTTAAATAACTAATATACATGTGTTGTATTGACAATCTTCCTTTGATAGTTAAAACTCTTTTTCCAAGGGTATTAAGACCAAGAAGGCGAAAGCCAACGGCGACATTGAATGTTGCCTGACTGTCTGCCTGGACTTTGGTTATTTAGAGAGATCGGAGGACACAGGATGCGGGAGGCGATGGAAGTGGAAATGGATGCGGATGCGGAGGGGGTGTCTGGAGAGTTGCGGTGTTTGTTCGTTAATTAGTGAACATATTTCGTATAATCGGTGTCATATTAGTTATAAATTGGATAAAAGCGCAAAACGACAACTTAATTAATTTTAAATTCCAATTTATAAACAAGAAATGCTAAAGTTGTTGCCGTTGCTCGGTGTTGCCGTTGTTGATGATGGTGCCGCATTGATAACGATTATGGAAGTACCCAAAGCAGGACCCAGTCGTGTTTGCTAATCATGTCCGAGGCATAGAACTAAGCCGATCCCCCCGCGATTACCCATCGTTATTCCTTGCATTCCTGCACCACAGCTTCATTTAAATTTCTCTCCTCCTCCGAGTTGGCCCGTCCTTTTCAGCCAGTTCCGAGAATTCGCGGACCGGCTCGCTGGCCTCACAATATTCGATTAGGTCGCCGGGCGGCGGAGGCCGTGTCTGCCGTTGATATATTGCCAACGATCATCAGCGATCATCATTTTGTTGTGAGCAGATTGCATTTCATTCGCTGGGAACGGAGGAGCCTTCCCGGAGAGGATGCTGCGAAATTACCTTATAACTTAATTCATTAATAAATTTATGAATTGATCGTTGTAAATTGCTGCCCAAATTTATGGGACTCAATTCTCTGTCATTGAAGTGGTTTATTTAACCAGGTCTTGGCTAAGATGAATTTCCATTGCACAGAAAGAAATATATATATGTACATGTATAAATAAATTATAAAGGAGCATCCTAACTAAATGTATCCTAACTTTTTATAAAATAAGAAATGGGTATATTAGAAATATAAAATAGACTTGAAAGAAATTAGAAAATACTCATCGAAACCTTGTAAAAAGGGGTATTTTCCGGAGAAAAGTTTTATTTATTTCAGTGCTTGACATCTTCTTATGAGGCATTTGACCCAACCAATTCGTATCCCAAATGCCACTTACAAATAGACTGTAATAAATGTGGTCTTTCGATTTAAAGACGATTTGCCTAATTTATTTTGATTAATTTCAATTATTAAGCCATCATTATCATGCTCTAGGCCCTTCGCCTGTGGGCAGATCGAACAAAGAATGCCCTCTGAATGAATCCAAATACTTTTTATTCACCTCGTCCATGAATGAATACGAGTTTCACTTCCTCCTTGGGGCCTATGACTGAATCCACATTTTTAGGGGACAAGAAACCAAATAACACTGTGTAAAGACACTTTGCCAATAGCTGAGCGCTTTTAAAATATTTCCCGAACCGTTGGGGACATCAATCAATATTTGTGTTTATTTTTTTGTGAGTAGAGAAAGATCATAAAAAGGAAAACAATAATATCGAGGATGGGGGAATGAGCAACAATGTCACCTTTGACAAGGGTTTGGATGAATGAAATGAGCTTTGTCGTCTCAGCCCGATCATTGATTAATGCGTTGATTTTGGGGGATTATTATTCCAAAAATATATGTAAGCCAATGGGGCACACACTTCTGTACTTTGATTCAGCAGCTACTGATAAAAAAGGTTGTATTTAAATTGATTATTCCAATATTACCTCTGACTTTAAGGGGTTCCCGTATAGTAATATTTCAGTTGTTTTATAAATAAAGTATATATAAAGTATATATATTTGTATTTTATTTGTATACTTGCTTATTAATAAATAACGCATTATATTTACACTATAACGATTATAGCAAAACGAGTACATAAAGTTCAAAAAAAATGATTTATTTTTAGAAGCTCTACATTTTGCTTGATATATCCGAATATAAACCAACATATCATTGAAAGTTTCCTCTTCCTTTGACTTGCCTGTCCGAGTTCCCCCTGAAATCACCAGTTTTTTGATAAAGTGAAGACCCGAAGCGCTGACAGCTCGGGATTCTCAGCATCCAGCTTGCCGCATTAATTTTGCTAATCCTGCCCGAGACGATGATGTGGCTGACGATGATGATGGGAGGACAGAAGGACAGGAGGACAGGAGGATAAAGACCGGGACAGGTCAGCAGCAACAGAATCAGTGGCCATGCCGACTGATTTTATATGGTTATAATTCTTGCTTTTGACAGCAACAAGCCTCGTTTGTCGTGCTGCAGAGTGTTGGAGCTGACCATTGCCATTCCCATCCCCATTCCCACTCCCATTCCCGATCCGCACATCCCATTCCCAAGGAATGTCAAATTAACACACAATGCGCCAGCTAATACATTAAACAATATGGGGGAAAAGGAGATATCGCAGATCGTCGAAGCTGCACTTTCCCAGAAGTTATAGACACACACTGAAATTTCGTTGCGGCCTGGTCGTAAATTATATCAATCCTGTAAGTAGCTGCCAACATTTAAGAACAATTCTGTTAATCACTTAATTTATGCAAGTGCTACAAATCGCAACCTTGTTGCACCAGCGAGGGGTTTATCCATTTTGGGAAATTAAGCGATCCGAGGGTTAATAAACGATCATTTAATAAGCGTTTTAATGCCAAATTTACGATCGTTTTATTTGCATAAATTACCAAAGTTGCCAACTGTATGCACATTAATTTCCCAACCAAATTGCCAATAAAATGTTATTTATGTTGCTAAGCGAAAAATACAACAGGCAGTCCCACAAAATTCCTTCAACGCGCCTGAACGATCGCCGCAAAGGGAGTATAGCAACGATGACTATATAGAGGCATATCCCGCATATATGGACAATCAGCTGGAGTCAGAGGTAGTAAAGTTTATGAGCTTTCGGTTGGCATTTTGTTGGCTTACCTTATTTCCCTTTTGCATATGAATTTCGCCCTAATAGAGTCGTAAAATTCGGCATTCGACGGCAGGGAATTGATGTGATTCTGTTAGGTAACACACGAACTGAACCCAATTAAGCCCACTCACGTTCTGTATTGCCTTGATATAGATAGGGTATATCTTTAAGACAGAAAAGTGTTGAGTTAAATTAATAAAAATACCTCTATATAAGTAGAGGGTATTTTGTTTAGTTTTAAAGCTATACGCCGAGATAGTTGAACAACAGCACAAGATAATCGCGAGGATCTTTGCCATTACTGTAAGCATAGCTTAGACTATTTGAAACAAAAATGTCAAGGTTCTGTCATAAGAATGTTTTTTAATGCTTTCTTTTGTGTTCGATTTCTAGATCCTGCTCTTGCACTTTTTGCACACAGCCAAAGGGGCTTCGCTTTTTGATTCTTTAGCAGGCTCATCAGGAACCAATTTGGGCACCAACATCCCCATTATATCAAATTTATCGAAGGGTCTTTCAAGTCTTACCCCAGGAGAAAAAAACATGATAGCACTTTTAAACCCTAATTTATACCGGGCTCTACAAATTTTAGAACCACTTTTACAATTACTCAGTGGTTAGAATCCTATTTGATTTTCTTTGTAAATTCAAAATAATAAATAAATTTGGCCAGCATAAAATAATTGATCAGTGTAAATCATCAGAGGTTCTACCGTGGAATTCGGGTATCCAGGTGACCATCATTTCGGTCATGTCAAAGACCTCCAACGCTTTGCAGAAGTCGACAAATAGTATTTGGTTTGAGTCCGATTTGTCCATTTCCTTCATCATTGTGTCCACTATGCGCATTATTTGCACATGATCCAAAAGATTTGAGAAAAGTTTGTGGACCACTATAACCAAATCATACTTTGTGATGCGACCATCTTTGTTATGATCGTACATGTTGAAGAGTACTGCAAAAAATGTATATTTAATTATTATAAAATTGCCTTAATACTATTAAATATGCATTTTCTTGAAAGTATTCTGTGTAATCATTAAAACTCTTACATCGTAACTTTCTGTCCATAGTTGCGTTCTTTAGCGTTCTGCTGGTTTTTAGCGAGTGAGCCTGAAAGGTACTCAGAAAAAGGGCGAAATCCAAAAAGCTGATTGTCACCTTATCCCCGAACATTGAGTTCAAGATGGTGGGCAGCAATGGATTCAGTTGCAGGAGCCCAGAATAAAAATTGTATTTGTACAGCTCACCCGGAGGATCCTTGCCTCCTCCTGAAAACTGGTAGAAACGAATGTAAAGATACTTTATTTGACTTCGACTCACTGTGGATTGATTAAATTAATAGGATTTTGATAAATCGTTCATCACTCACGTGTTGTTTGTTTCTTGAGAGTGTTCATAACATCCTGCGGCACTGAAGGAAAGGAGGTGGCCTTCCTCAAACACAAACATCCCATTCCGAACTGCCTCCCAATTAAACCGGGTTTCCTAATAAACTCAGTACTTGAAAATTTCCTCTGACAGCATTTACTAAGAAAGGCCCAGATGAGACACTTGCTACTTAATTTCCCATTTCACATTTTTCTCGTTTTTTGATAAACGCCGTTCGAGATCAGTTAAGATAAGGTCTAGACCTCATTTTATGTGTTCGTTGTCTTTTACGATTGCGTACACCCATAAAAAACTAGATCTCCAAAGACAAGAAGCTGCGACAAGTGACATTTTGTGCGCAAGAAGTCGAGCACTCACTCATAAAGCATATTACTTCATTAAAAACAGAAATTAACCTGAACTCAGTGTCTCATTCTGATTCTGAGACTCTGTTTGTGTTGTGGCCGCCTTTAATGATGAACGTTTTTAGTTATTTTTCCTTCAAGAAAAAGGGCGTAAATTGTTTATTAAATGCCTGTCCTTACAGTTTTTAGAATGAAATGTTTTTGGATTAAACGGAGGAGTTTGTTCTATTAAAATGTGACATACGAAAACAATAATCAGATTAATTTTCTTGACTTAGCCTGTTATGATTATTGAACTTAATTGATTAAATAAATTGTTGGTTTTAAATGTTAAATTTTCTATACCATAAAACAAATATTATTTAACTTATCAGTGATTAAGCTACTTAAAAATTCCGAAAGATTTTTTAAAACAATTGATTAAATGAAATATCTTTCTTTTTATAAGAAAGCTACAGCTTCGCCTTTTATTAATTTGTTTTAGTTTTTTAAATTATATAACTTACAACATGTTCTAGGGCATTTAGGTTTATAAGTGTACCACTGGGACCATTTTGTTACAAATTAGGCTGGGCAGAAGGGAAAATCGTATCATTTTTTGGCGGCCTTAGAACATCAAACGCTGTGTGGTCCGCGTGCCGAGGGTCACGTCTCAGATGGTCGCATATCTGGCGACCAATTTGCGGCGAAAATGTATGCCACATGACAAGCAATTAAGCTCGGACTGCGACAAAGTACGTGTTCAAGTTGGAGGTTTAGTGAACCCGGTCGCAAAAGCGATAAATTTATGACAAATTTTCAAAAGAAATGCTCTGGTCAGGCTGCGTGTGGTTCAGATATCGCAGCGGTGGTGGTGTTGCTGGTGGTTCTTCTCTGCTGAACATTTCGACGTGGCGGCACTTAACACCACGCATCATTTTAATTATTTATTTGGCCATAAAACAGTCGAAGTTGAGGGAGGGGCCGGTTCGGGGGCGAACTGGCCAACTTTCGGCACAGTTTTCGTTAGCTGGCGGTTCGAAATCGTTAAATTTAACAAATTGCCAGCGATTTTTATCGCGCTCCAAGCCCACAGCCGACCAACCCAACCCGACCAGACTCTTTCCTGTCCTGTTCGGCCCTGCCCATAGATTGTTTTCCTTATACTCACTCGTGCTTTTCTGAACTGGCAAATTTATTTATGACCAACGGCCCAGAGATACAGTATTTTTAGTTTCAGTTTTCGGTTTCGGCCATAACGCATAATTGGCCAAAGAGTTATGAGGAGGGAGATGACTCAGGTACTCGAAACTTTTCCCTAATTAAGTTGAATGAAATTCGTCCAAAGGTACAGAATCCCCTTTTTTACTTTGTACAGTCGTTAAATCTTTGATGACCCTCTTATCATTTTCATAATCGCATAAAAACAATTTCTATCTTGTTCTCGACAAACGGTACCAAATATCCCGACTGATAAGATTTTTACTATCCCATCATTCGTGGCAGGCTCGAGTTCGTTGCTTAGTTCTTTATTATGGTCGAGTTCGTTGCCTAAGTCTTTCGATTTGGTCGAATTACGTTTTACGTACTCATTCATTTAACTAATCTTAAGCAAACTAATTAGCGAAAAAATGGAATTAAATCGCATAAAACAACTTAATTATTATTGCACAAATATATATTTGGAGCTCGGAAAGAGCCAACTAATTGGCCGGCAACAACAATTCACACCGGAGGCTAGTTAAGCAGCAACAAGAACAACAGCCACTGCAAACATGTTAACTGAAAATAACCTGTAATTATAATAATTATCTGTAAATTATATGGCGCACTTACAATTGCACACGGATTCATGCGCTTGTCATAAAAATCTAAAGCTGAGTTTTGAGTTAGCTTTGCCTTTTAATCTTGCTCGAATTTCATTCGAGCGGCCGCACTTGGCAGTTAGCGGTTGCAATAGTTTACGGCTGTGAGCTACCAATGGACAGTCGGGCACTGCTAGAAAATTGGTAAGAAAATAAATTCGTAGATCATTATAAAATACTTAATACTTAAAATAATTAACAATCTAAAAATGTTTCTTAAGTGGTTGTTGAGTTGCATTGTGATTAAATATATTTTAAGCAACCTATTGTATAATTTGAATAATAAATTCGAAAATATTAAAATATTTTTAGTGTTTTAAAAGTATTATTTATAAATTTGAAAAACATTATATTCTCAATAAATTAAACAAAATTAAACTGTTTATTCTGGTAACAAGTCACTGTGATTAACAAAAATAATTACATAACCATTTTTTTCGGTGCATTTCAGTCAACAATTTCCGTGGCTATTGCAGTTTTATACCGGCAGACTTCAGAAACGTGATCATAGCCTCCATTTAGACGAAAATTAAATCAAATTTCATTGGCATGTGTGAAACTGTCGCGTACTCGCGCATAACTTTGTGGCTGTTGTGCTTTTTTGTTTTTTATTTTTCGCTCCATCCGGTTAAGTTTTTCTTGTTGTTGCTGCAGTGTAATCAGTTGGTGTGTACTGGCGGCGACCGCTCGATTCTTCGTAATTGAAACGAGTTTGCCACAAGTGAACATGTTTGTTTTTTTTATTTTTTTGGGGTAATTCAGCATACAACACTGTCAGATGTTTCGCAGTTGAGTGTCGGTTATAAAGTAATTAGCCTCAATTTAATGTTTATACTTTGTTGATTATGATTATGTTAATTATACGACTTTATGTGACGGTGAAAACAGGGAAACATTCCGGTTGCCCTGTCATCATCATCATTATGATCATTACGATTGTCGCGGCTGACATTGATGAACTCGAAAGTGTGACAAGCCGGCGAATTGCTTAATGTCTGGGTAATATGGAAACTTTTTAGCCCAAAGAGCCTAGAGCTCCAGGTGGGTGTTGGCTACCTGCAAGTTTGTTGCTCCAGTCTTTCGTTCGGGCTAATGATGTTCTATTAAAAACCACTTTTATTAATTAAGCAAAACAACTTAATTCCCATGTAAAGCGCTGCATCAGCATCACATCATGGGCAGCTGCTCAAGCTAATTGCGTCTAGGCATCTGCATCTGGGATCCCGATCCCGAGCCCATTCCCGATCCCCACGGACACCTGAACACTTTGAAACGAAAACACGATAAATGGGTTTAATAATGGCGGCAATTAAATGGATACACGTAGATACACTCCACACATATTGGAGACGGAGCCCATCGGGCAGCATCTCAATTACCGCTGCTCTGCATGGCGCTTCACGGTTGAGAAATTCGACGCCACTTTCAAAAACGCATCGCTCAAATGCTCATCTGCTTCTCATCCAACTGGCTGCATTCTGCGGCTCTTTTAGCCGAGGCGTTGATTCTCCTCTTTTCGGTTACCGAGCCGGCCAACTCATCAGCAATTTATTAAAACTCATCAATACTCATCAAAGGCAAAAACAAAGCAAACAAGAGGGACTTCAAACTGCGATTCGATTCTTCAAAAAGAGAAAACCCGAAAAATAAGAAATGAAAAAACGGAGACAGAATGCCTGCGGTTAATTTGGCGCAGCTACAGAAATTGAAATAGATTTGTTTAACTTTTGATTATATAGGGTTTCGGGTAAGATGAGCTGCCGGGGAGGGTATTCGTATTGCTTTTCTTTTTTATTTGTTTTGAATCATACATTTTTTTAATGAATTTATAAAAGTAATACCATTTAATTTTTTTACTGTACGACAAACTTAGTTTTTTTTGTAGAGCTACAAGTTATAAGGTTTAACAAATACTAGAAGGTTTAAAAAAAATATTATTTAGGTGAAATATTTAAGTATCAATTTGATGATGCTCCAAGCAGAGGTCTGAATGTTATTATGAACACCCAAACCTTCCGGATCAGAACATTTTTTTTAAGGATTTTAAGAAATAGTTTCCCTATTTATTCGTATATACCCACTATCTGGGCAGCTTGCCTTCTACTCTTCCCATCTCATCTCAGCTTGAGCTGGCAGATTTTTCACCTTCTGCGCCCGTGATTTGTCTGCATTTTCAGCTCATTTATTTGTAGACACTGGTATTTGTGCTCGCCGGCATGCCCCTTCGCCAGCCGATCCATTGTCAGGTTGGAAATGTGTATAAACAAAATGTTTTGCATATGTCAGAGGCACTCGAGGCGCTCGCAGCCATCAATCCCGAGGGCATCAATTTGGGAAATGCATCAAAGTTGGCAGCTCGAACAGCTTGATTAGTTGTACAACCGCAGCATCCCGACATCCCAAGTGCATGTCGGCTCATTAGGCCTCTCCACTGATGAGCAACTTGTGATTGGGGATCGGGTATTGAGGGGCGGAGGGACGGAGGAGCTGTGAAATCGGTTATCGAATCCGCGTCTCATGTCTGGTGTCTACAACAAAATTAGGTTTTAATAATTGGCTCACATTTATTTGCGGCCTTAATTTGATTGTGCCGTCAAATGTTTTTATGCAGTCGAATCATCAATTAATCATTGCTCATTGATCCTTCTTGTGGTTGTTGGGGGCGTGTTAGCCTTAATGAAGCTGGCTAATTCGGAGAGCGATGGTGAAAGATGAGCTGGTTTGTCTGAGAACCAGGCGGACTTAACGTTGATTGAATAAATTGAAATTGGTTTGTTGAATAAAATTATGATGCAACCCCTTATGAAAAATTAAAAAATAGATTTCTGCAAATTAACCTGAAATCGATAGTTCAGGTATTCAGCTGAAAAAGACAGAAATTCTTTTGGCAGTGCTTTT